ATTTCCTGCATTCTGGTGTATTTTACCAGGTTGTTAGACATACTTTTACCTACACAAATGAACACTTCATTTAATAATTATTTCAGAGACGGATTATTCATTAAGCTACAGCTGAGATAATGTTAATTAATGTGACACAATTTATCATATCCAATGATTTTAGGGATGCTTTTTACTTTTATATTGTTTATTGATTTATTTTTAATTGTAACACACGTCATTGTGCCAAACAAAGATAACTCTCAACTGCATCTTTAAAACTAATATTAATTATTTTACCCAATGAACATGTGCAATACTGATAACCACCAACAGTGAATTTAGAGGGGTGTTTCACTTTTTCTAATTTAATGATAGGTCTACTCATAACCAAACAAAGATCATCATGCAGCCCACAGAGCATAAAATGACAGTGTTATGGTGACATWAAAAAAGGAAAGAAAACAGAAATCTTTGTCACCATAAGTCCAAAAGTTGACACCATAAGTCAGATTACACAGGCATATGTTCTGTGTATAAAGAAAACCATCACTTCCTTGTCATCAGTCTTCTTCATTGATGGAGCTTGGTGATGTTTCAAACTGTTAAACACTGCCACCAACTGTTCAGGAGGATTATTACACCCCTAAATGTTGGTTCACTGTGGAAGGGRTGTGTACAGCAGGGTGGCCAATGGGGTAGCCAAAGATTTGTCTGTGGTGGCCAGGGCCACCCCTGGCCACCCCCTGGCTCTGCCCCTGCCTTTAACACTGAAGAGAAAAGTAACCTTATACATGTTTTTGTTGTTGTTGTTTGTTTCATTTTTGTAGATTCACCATATCAGTATGCAGCTTCTTTTCACAATGATGGCTACATTGCTCTTCCTAAGTCAGTTTTCCCAAGAAGGTAACATTTCTTTGTCCTGTTTTTGTTTAGATTTTTCTTCTATTAGTTTTAGTATATTGAGTCATTATAATGATTTACAGAAAGTGACAATATTCTATTTTATAGTGGTCCTAATTCACCAGAGACTATAGAAATGGAAATCAGGACCACATCTTCTGAGGGGCTGGTCTTGTGGCAGGGAGTGGTAAGTCCTGGTCCCCTGGTCCTGCAGGACACACAGGTGTCAGCCAACTGAAACTCTAATCTTTTCCCTTGACTTTCTTTCATTTCCTCCCTAACTTTGCTTCCGAAGCCCCAGCACTCTTAATCTGGATCATCACCTTACCTTTCAGAATGAGACACTTTGTAACATTTAATCTGTTTTCTGTGTATCATCACTCATACTTAACTGCTTTATTTTGAACGGTTCATTTTTTGTCATAGCATTCATAATTGTGCTGCTGAGGCTGTAACATTGTTTGGCATGATGGCTGCAAGCAGTGGCTCAGTCTCACTCCACTAAATGCATGCATGAGCTGCTCTTAACTCCCCCTCCATTTTCTTCAGGAGACCACTGGCGCACGCAATTTGCAAAAGATGCATGGTAATAAAAAGGTATCCACTCGAACACCAGACACATTTTAGTTTTTTTGCTCATGCTTGAAGACTTGAACATGTTGGATTTGAGATGAGTTCATATGTTTCTTTTGTATTTTCAGTGTGCATCATGTTTGTTTTATTCATTGTTTTGTATGAAAAGTTAGTCATGATTTACATCGTTTGGGGGAAACAAACTTAGCTTTGCTTCATGTTTGCTCACTGCAGCTCTGATGTGTAAAGCTACCAAAGTTAGCCAGAAAAACATGACATTCTTCTACTGACTTCACATTTCTTTTAAGACACCCGGAGAGGACGGCAAAGGCAAGGACTTCATCAGCCTTGGTCTGCAGAACGGACACCTAGTTTTCAGGTGATTCTGTTGTTCTTTGAGATTTTAAAGAACATGTCGGTTTAATTTTAAATACATTTTAATGTTGTAAATAAGGTGATATCTTTAATTTCCAGTTACCAACTAGGCAGCGGAGAGGCTAAAATACTTTCCCAAAGATCTATCAATGATGGAAGGTGGCATCAAGTCACTGCGGTCAGGTATGATGTCAAATTCACTCAGCTCTCTTGAAGTAATAACATTATGCACAGCTCAGTTTTCAGAATATTTATTTCTTTATTTTTGTTGATAAAGATGCAAATAATGATGGTTTATCCAAAAGAAAAAATAAGCACGTCCTCTGGACGGGTTCTTCTTTCATTAAAGAAGAACCCGTCCAGAGGACTTACTTATTTCTTTTTCTTTTTTTTTTTTAGTAGACAGCAGAACTGAATATTAGTTTCTTACTTTCTTCATCATCAGTGACTTATTTTTTTCTTTTTGTTTTTTCTACCTGGATTACTGAGATGCATCAGGACAATGATGGTTTATGTTTTTAAATTACCATTCTCTCTGCAAAACAAAGATTAATTAAAAGGATATTTTGTCCCTTTTGGAGTCAGGTCCTGTGGAAAAGTTCCAATAAATCACATCTTAGCTGATGTAGATGCCTTTTTGAAATGCCTCAATTTGTAAAAAAATAAACTTTACATCTAAGGACTAATGACTTCTGCTTTCACAGTGGGTCTACTTGAACATCGTTATGGTCTGAGCAGACCCACTTTTATAGAAGCTTGTTGTCATCTTCAAGATGTTTTCAAAATATACTACGTTGTGAGGACCCACTGCTACTTATGGGAAAGCCTTGGTTTCATACGTTTATATACAAATTCAGTACAGCATCACAGCTATCATTTTTGTTGTGCTTCTAAATTGCTACAGAATTCTGGGTAAGTAACCATGTAGTGTAAAACTGGTGATTGTGTAAAGGCCTAGCATTTACATTAACCACCGTAGAATGTAAGTCTTTTTAACTGAAGTGTTTAAAGAGCTATCCAAAAGAGATGAGAAATAAATTAGAACTTTGTTGCTGAACCCCGCTTCAAAATGACCAAAATATCTATTTAAAGAGTAACTTACCCCAAAATTAACTTTTTTTAGCTGATAAACTGTCTAGAATGTGTCTAAAATGTTAWATAGTACTGTTTCTGTGCTCATTTTGATGTTTTTGTGCGTATTTGTCCAAATCTGTAATATTTGGTCTAAAAACGTCTTTTTGCTGCTCATATGGGTAGAGCAGTGGTTCTGCAGGCTAATTTGCATATTGGTTAACGGCTCTGCATGTTGACGTGCTTCTCCACGGTTTCGTCACAGCGGCTGTGTTCTGGTATAAAAGCCTCTCTCTAAGACACGCCCCTGCAGCAGTCAGAGGGTGGAGCTGTTAGCAAGCTTAGCATGATCGTCTGTTGACCTGGGTGGGGAGAGCTGACTGCTGCGCTGCTCTCTCTGTCTCTCTCTCCACACACACACACACACACACACACACACACACACACACACACTCCAGCAGTACGTCCTGCACAGCAGGAGGGGAGGAGGGGGAAAAAAAGGCAGAAACACAGCAGGGCAGCTGCAGCCCTAACGGACCAAACTTCAGTCAAACAAGACCCAACACTTTTATTCCTGATTTAAACTAGTGATCTTGAGAGCAGATGCAGCTGTACGCTTTTATTTTTTTCTAACAGGCTGTCGTGGAGCGCTGCACCTCCTCTGTCCTGTGAGGCGGACAGCTCAGCCGAAGCTGTCACATTCTCTCGTCCTGGCCACACCTCCGCTCTCTAACCCCCCTCCCCTACCCACACCCCCTCCCCTACCCACTTTGATGCATTTTTCAAATTTTGCCTTGGGACGGAGTTATCTTTTCACAGGTGGGGGTAAGATACACTTTAATGTTGATGTATTRTAAATAGACTTGTGCTTGTGTTGCTTTTTCCCCCCTCAGAACTGGAAGAGATGGATATATCCAGATTGATGGAGGAGGTATGCAACGTGGACAGTCTAAAGGTGACAAAATCATGGTCGACACCAAAGGCAGTATATATCTTGGTGAGTAAACAAGGATTATTTTTACTAGGACAAATTAAATGCAGTATWATGTCTCAAGTGACAGGACATCTTTTTATTTTGAATCATTATGTCGGCTTATGAGATGCTGGCCATAGCCTCAAAAATACCTTACAGTTTAAAGTAAAACTCCTGTCAAATAATCACAAGACATGATTATGACAAACATTTGTTTATATTGTAACCTGCCTATAGAACAGGAGTGCCCAAACATTTTCCCTGAGAGGGCCAAAATGAAAATCTATCCAGGGCTGTGGGCCAAATGCAGTAATATAATACATGAAATACAAATACTTTTTAAGTTATGTCCTTTATTTTTAGCGATTATGCTGTGCAATGGCCCTCTTTTGTTTAAGTCTGTGCACTTGGATAAAGTCTGCCATACTCTCAAGTAGCAAAGGCTCATGGGACATATCATAAATTGATAAAATATGATTTTTTGTGGCCTTATAAAGTGTGCAAATCTACACGTGGGGTTAAATCTGATCGAAATATTTATTGTTGTCATTTCATGTTTCATCCTAATAAATTAAAGCTAAAGTCAACAGCATGAATGAAAACTACCTTCACTACAGCCCTTTTATATAGTCATTTGACCAATGGAAATACTGTGTTTCTACATAGAATAACAGGTTACAACCTTTTAACTTTGGTGACTGTTGGTGGGCCGAATCAAATGGTTTGGCGGGCCAAATTTGGCCCGCGGGCCCCACTTTGGGCTCCTCTGCTATAGAAATTATTTGAACAAATACAATGGTCAGTCAACAGACCACGCAGGCATACATACATACATACATACATACATACATACATACATACATACATACATACATACATACATACATAAATAAAACACTTCCTTGAAGTCATGATAACAGGCAGGAACATTTTGTAGATTGGGGATGTACTCTGTCTCATTGCGAGGTTCCTTCTCAGGAGTAGCTGTGAACAGACAGTTGAATGAGCATTGTTTTGACCAACCCATAATCTCCTTGTTGACCCAGTCTATATGGGGGTTGTGTTTCTTCAACCAGGTGGCTCCAAGAATGATAGGAAGATTGGGTGATGTGATTACCAAAAAGGTTATTTCTTCTGTGTGGTTACCTCCAATAGTCATCTTAACAGGCAGGGTCTCAGAGCTGGTGTGGTTGAGKTTATGACCATCCAGAGCCTGAATTTTATGTTCCCTCTCAGAGTGGCGGATCTGTAGTCCAAGAGAAAGAGCGAACTTGTTATCAATAAACTCTGTATCGGCTCCAGAGTCAATGAATACCTTCACAGCGTGAATTTTACCTGATACATTCAAATCTGCTGACAACACAGGGAGAGAGTGGCTTACTTGGGCAGGACTAAGAACATGAGTCTTGGTTCTTTTTGGCTTAACAGGGCAATTAATGGCAATGTGTCCAACACAGTATAACCACAGACCTTCATTCCTCCGACGAGTCCTCTCTTCCAATGAAATCTTTGACCTGCCGATCTGCATTGGTTCCACAGACGTCTGGACCACTGGAGTGGTAACGGTTTGACTTCCTCTGATCTGTKTCTCGGTGTTCCTGGAAGGTGACAAATAAGGGCCAGTGAAGCTTTTACCTCATCGATTCTACCTTCGCTCATGTAGCCTTAGATCGATGCGTGTTGCCAGTTCTTCCACTTCCTGTAAGGACTGGGGTGGATCTCGAGTCGCCAGTTCGTCTTTGATGTCCTCATTTAATGCCTGCAAGAAGGCGTTCTACAGAGCCTCATCATTCCACCAGCTGTCCACTGCTAGGGTATGAAAATCAATTATGAACTCTGTGACTCTCTTGTTCCCCTGTTTGAGAGTTAGCAGACCTCTGGACGCTTCTCGATGTGGAAGAACTGGACAAAAAACTCTGAGTAACTCTTTAGCAAAATCTTTGTACTTGTAATAAATAAGAGCGTCTCTTTGCCACCCAGCAGTTCCCCACAACTTGGCTTTACCGGACAACAGTGAAATAACATAAGAGACCTTGGAGCGTTCAGAAGGGAATGACGAGGGTTGTAATTCAAATTGTATCTCACATTGTGTGAGAAAAGCCCGACCCTGATCAGAATCGCCCTTGAATTTTTCAGGTGGGCACAAACGGGGCTCCATACATGGAGAAGGCT